CCTAAAACCACTCATATACTTAGGACTTTTCTTTGTGCATAGCCAACTTAATCACCACAGTAATCACCTGCAAAAGGCTCTCAAGAGATCAGACCTGTAAGTTTCATCAAGGAAGAAGGGGCTGGGAAGAGTCATTAGACCTTCACCTGAGATTTCAGCCATGCTGATCTATCCCTGTTGTATGTAATTCTTCTCTAGCTGCCCATGGTTTACAATATTTAGTTAAACCTTTCAAATATTGTTAAAAGATGTTATCATCTACAAGATTCGCACTCAAAAATTACACAATTGAGTTAAAGAAAGTCGTGGAGGGGATCATATTTTAAGTAGTTTTTATTTTGTCTTGGACTGTATCTCAGCCAGTGACAGTAAGCATGGGCTGTGGTTGGGCACACCTGCTGAGAATAAGAAGGGAGCAAGTTTAACTCAAGAAGGGTGAGAGATTTATGAGGAAGTCATCAACCACATTGTAATGAAACATTTTAGTGACGGCTGGCTTTTTCTTTTCTTTTTTTTTGGGGTGGGGGATTTCGCCTATGTGATAGACATATACTTATAGGTAAGAATATTATTCTGTCCTGATGTTGGTATCCTACGGGACTGATCAAACGCTTACTTCTCTCAGGAAAAGTTCACTCACACACAAACACACAAATATTAGATAACATTATTTGAAGTGGGATCATCTAAATAGAAATTCCTGGGCTTTTAAGAGGCGATTTCATGACACTGCCACAGCCTGTAAACCCGGCCCTTTGGAGGCTAACGCAGGAGGATCAGCAGGATTGAGGTCAGTATGGACTATACAGAAAGGCTGAGGCCAGCCTGGACTACATAGTTAAATCCTGTCACCAAGAGAAACCCCTAAACTTTAAGGTTGATATTACACCACAAAATTCCACACTCCATGCAATGCAGAGATAGAAAATGTGATATGAACAGTATTCCAAATCTGTGTATGCATCTGAATTACTAAATGTGCTATATATAAGTACTAATGCTTTATGTGCTAGTTCAGAAGTTCTAATTTAAAAAGTAAAAGATTGCTCTCCTTCTCTCTGGTCGCAGGCGTTTTGGGAGCCACCGTTACCGTCCAGCCATGGCCAAATCCAAGAACCACACCACACACAACCAGTCCCGGAAATGGCACAGAAATGGCATCAAGAAACCCCGGTCACAAAGATATGAATCTCTCAAGGGGGTCGACCCCAAGTTCCTGAGGAACATGCGCTTTGCCAAGAAGCACAACAAGAAAGGCCTGAAGAAGATGCAGGCAAATAATGCAAAGGCCATGAGCGCACGTGCGGAGGCCATCAAGGCCCAGGTGAAGCCCCACGTGGTGAAGCCCAAGGGGCCAAAGGGCCCCAGCTGCAGATGCTTTCATTGCTCACCCCAAGCTTGGGAAGCAGATTAGAAGCTACATGGCCAGGGGTCGTAGGCTCCAAAAAACAAAGCCCAAGGTTCAAACCAAGGCAGAGGCCTCAGCTGCAGCTCAGGCTCCCAAAGGTGCCCAGGCCCCTGTGAAGGCCCCGTAAGGAAGGTCTCAGTCTGCCAATGTGAAGACAGATGAACTGGTGTGAATATCTATACAGTATTTGCAGATGTTCAGGACCTTATGCTGTTTTTACAAATAAACTTGAGGCAAGATCTGTTAGAAAAAAAAAAGGTAAAAGATTGGCACAGTATTTATTAATAAAAAGTAAGCTTGAGTATATTTCCCGAGTTGGGAAATTATATAGCCTAGGTTCATAAACAACATCAATGTATTTACAGGTATACTGTACACATCATGTAAAGGAACATTGCATCATTAGTCCATTCTGCTCCTGTGCAAGCATCACAGAGCATACAGTACATAAACTAAGAAACTAAGAAAGGTACTAGAAGACTCAGGGAACATCTTGGAATGCATTAATTTCCCTCCCTTCCTTCCTTCCTTCCTTCCTTCCTTCCTTCCTTCCTTTCTTTCTTTCTTTCTTTCTTGAGTTGTGGTCTCAACTACATTGTCTGGGTTAAATTTAAACTTGTGTGCTCAAGTAATCCACCAGTCTCAGTTTCCCTGAATATTATAACTACAGGCATATGTACCTGTCTTTGACTATGCTGGATATTAAATACACGTGCTAGTTAGGTGTTCTACAATTGAACAACTCCCCAGCTTGAGGCCATCCTTCTTTAATAGCTTTTGTGGTTTTAGAACACTTTTACTTACCAAGACCAGTATTTAAATCCACATTTTCCCATAAGAAATCATTTAAAAGTGGAAATCACAGAATAAAGGAAAGACAATGTGTTGTGAAACCTGGATCCATAAAGTAGGACAAATAGCTAGAGAAGTAAAAACTGTTAGAAAGAAATGTAAAAGTCACAGTTCATCACTCAAGAGTCTAGTTCACTAAGACTTACTAGAAAGTTATAAAAACATCGATTCTAAACTTGGCATGATGGAACATTCTTGTAATCCTAGAACTTCAGAGGCTGAAGCAAGAAGATAATGATTTTAAGGGACAGCCTAGGCTACATTGTGAACCAGGAACCAATGTCAATCTTCCTCTTCAGAATCCCAAGTGCTGGGATCTTGATGTGTGGCAGCTTTTCTATTCTCTATGTACTCCCTATATTGGTAATTTCATACATTCTCCCAACTGAAAATGTCTACAACCCCATGACTGAAAATTCTATTTAGTCCAGCCTTTTCTTAGAAACATAAATTTTATATGTAACTCTTTACTCCAACATTTTAAACTAGACAAATTCAAAACATTACTTCTGATCTTCTCCTTCACCAAACCAGCTCCAGTATATCTTCCATCCTTTTGTTTTGTGGTGCTGAGGATTAAGCAGAATCTCATGAATACTAGGTGTGCATTATACCACTGCTCTACAACCCAGGCCATTTCTCTGACTGCTCTTCAACCTGTTTTTGGTAACAACTCCAACACTCCAGAATTATTTAAACCAAAAACTCTGTAAGCAGGCTTAATCCTTCTCTTTCTCTCAGTCTACACCTAGTGTACTATTAACAAATGCTCTTGGCTAAACATCAAAAAATATTTCCATAAGTTGATGGTTACTCAGAAACTCCATCTCTGTCGCTTTAGTCCGAGTTATCATCATTTCTTACCCCATTTATGCAATAGCTTCTAACTTCCTCCTACTACCTACCCTTGTTCCCACCTAGTCTACATGCTACACAACAGCCAAGAGTCTTTTTAAAAATCTAACAAGTTACAGTCCTGTTTCAAAACCTTTACACAGTAACTCACCCATTTCACTGAAAATAAGAGTCACCATCATCATCTTTTTCTTCAGCAGTTTAGAAAGCCCTACAGCACCCATCTCTGACTTCCTACTCACTCTAGCTCATTCTCCACTACTCAGGAGTTCCTTGCTATTCCTGGAATACATGAAGAAACATTCTCATCACAGTCTTTGCAATGACTATTTCCTCTGCTTGCAAAAGCTTTTCTTCATAAAACTTCACACACGATCCCATTCTCATGCATCAGTAGAATGTTCATCCTGTTAAATCCTCAAACCAGGTATGGTGGACCAGCTCACTCCAGGTTACTATGAGCTATAAAGTGATACTCAGTTTCACTCAACAACAACAACAAAGTCAAGGTACTAGGACAATAGAAACTACTTCATTTAATCCATAATCTAGTTCATCTTCCTTTTTCACAATTCTCCTTATCCTGTTACTTGAAATGGCCATTATAGCTCGCATATTACATATTTATAACCTACCTTCTACTCTCCATATGCCATCAGAATGTAAGAACTACAAGGACCTTTTTATTTTCTTCACTAAAATTTTCTCGTGTACAGAACAGAACCATGAACAGGTTGACAAAGAAAAATTACCTAATTAGTGTATTTATAACAGACCCTTAAGAGTCCACAAAAAGAATCTTCTGACAGCAGAAATGAGCTAGTAAGAATATCATCAAATTCTTTATCAAAATAAACCATCACTAGCGTTCTGGTTAATGATTGCTAGGTAGTAACCCAAATTCTACACTTATTCAAAAATACAGTCAATGACTCTAAGCAGTTAACATTCCTTTCAACAATGTTGCTATTCCAGTAAAACGAGATAAAAGTTCTCACTGCAGCACACATGACCAAGCATAACTTAACAAACAGGAAATTTCCTCTACTTAAAAAGACTCAATTTCAAACTAAGTAATTCAGAAGGGATCGAATTACTTAGGGTTTTCCCTCATTACCTAGTTAATGTTTATAAATAAAACTTAGAATGAACATTGCCATAATCATCATCACCACAGAAAAACTGAGTTCTGGAATTATTAGTAGCCCTGGAAAGTAATTTTTAAAAATTGCCTTGTTCCTATGCAAAGATCAGTATCTCAGTAAACAAGCTGGACTCATCACAGCTTCAGTTACGGTTTCAATAATATCATGTCCTAGAGTCTTAGTCCAAAGTTTCTGAGACTTTTTTATGCAAAACACTATAAATCTGAAACTCCTGTGACTAAGACGTAAAGTATTTCAATTACTGCAACTTCTACCTAGACGATCCATTCCACTCACAACACTTTTGGTTTTTCTTTTGGTATAATACACATAACCACTGATTATAGACAAGTCCCCAGACCAAGAAAACAAATAATCTGTAGTTTGCTATGGACAGTTTGAAAAAGCACCGAGGGAACTACTCAACTCTCACCGACCGACTGGATGCGGAGTCTGACAGGGACTTTGGAAGCTTGTCATTGGGGGGCAACTGTACAGTATCTGAGCACAGCACGCACTGGCTGGAATCTAAACTGTCTATTTACACATTACAACTCCCAGCTGGTTTCTCAGCCCGCCCGAGCACACACAAACTCAGAACCCAGTCCACAGTAACGGTGTTTTCTTATCAGAGGTACAAGGAAGTCCCCAGCAGGGAGCGGCAGGAAAGGCGCTCACCACCCCGCGCGCGACAACGGCCAGGTCGGGGCCGAGGTGTACGCGCCAATGCCCGGCCTTACCTCAGGAGTCCGATCCGGCGGCTTCTTTCTCAGCGCCTGACGAGCGCCGGGGTCCACGGGCGAGTTCATGTCCGCAGCCCCACGCTCCCCAGCCTGTGTCTAGCTGCCCCCCATTCGCCTGAACCGGGTGTGAGCCCGCCCCACCAGAAGGGAACTGAGAACTGTCGCAGGGTACAAACTCAAGCAAACAAGTCTTCGCAACGCCCGCCCAGGGCCTCAGCCCACGCGCGACTGGCCAGAAAGACGCCTGCGCCGGGGCGAGAGCGGGTGAGTGCGCACGCGCACAACGCGCACGCTCTCGCCCGCCTAGCCGTGACGTAAAGAGCTAGGGGTGGGGGACTGAGAACGAGCTGCTAGACCTTCGTCGCGAGAGTCCGTCACGGGATTGTAGCTTCCGCATCCCCAGCTTCCGGCTGAGGTTCCGGAAATGTTATGAAGCCCTAGCTAAAAATAGCTGGTGGGGCAGAACTGCGGGTACCTCAACACCCAAGTCCGGAAGCAGAGGAACTCAAGTCTTGCGGGAGTCGAGGCTGCCATTCAGCAACTTCGGGAAGACCACACACCGCCGCGCAAGCTACGGATCCCAGGGCAATACTCGCGCACCCAGCGCTATTTTGAAAAGCAAAATCAAACCATGAAATCGCTAGTGAAAGCTGCGCTCAAAAAGTGTTTTCAAGACTGTAGATTATAGCTCAGGGGATAGCCTGGGGGCCAAGCATGCACCAGGATGTCCTGGACATGATGATGGATGCCTCAGGGGCTGGATGTAGTATACTGTTCAGGATCTTCCTTTAAAGGGTTTATGACCTAAAAGCCTCAGGTGGGCTGAAAAACTCCAGATGGGAAAGTTAACATCTGTGGGCTATCAGGATCCTGGAAACTTCTGATAAGATTCACATACCAACCTTGGAATTTGCCACTTTGAGACTGTTGGGGAACCTACGTGGAGATGGAATCTTACATCCCAGTTACTTTTTCTGTCCTTATAAAACTCACAAGCCACGTGTGCAGTCTCCACTCCCGTGTAAAAACTACTGTTCACTTGTTCTGATTAAAGGGCAAATCTGCTTCTGTAGAGGTAGATCTGCCCATTTATTTCAACGTGCCTCTGTCAATCCTGATCTATGATTCTTGAGTACTAAAGCCCTCCAAGTGGGTGGCTGGGGCCAGGTTCATCTGCTTTAGACTAACCTGTGTTCAGAGTAGGCCCTCCTTGTCGTTTTTTTCACCCCTGAGGCAGCTGGGTTCTATGTTGCCTGGAGCCAATAATGAGTGCTTTTGCATTGAATTTTACGTTCTAGTCTCTTTTCCTAAAATAAAGACTAGCTACCGTTTGTTTACTTGTCCTTTGGTAAGAAAAGCTGCAAAGAGTAAGTATCAGTTATTTTTCCTATTGGGATAAAAAAAGTAATTTGATAAAAGGAACTGTAGAGAGTTAATTTTGGCCTACACGCTGAGCTGGAATTACAGGGACTTGGGAACAGTTGGACATGAGTGCTGAACTGAACTGACCCTCTTCAAGTGCACTACTTGCTCTTAAGCCACCGAGGGATCTCAGCAGTCCCCCGTTTTTCTTTCTTCCCTTTTTAAACATTCCTTTTGTGTGTGGCATAATGCCATTGTGCTTATGTGGGGGTCTGGAGACATAGAGGAAAGTGGTTTTTCTTCTACCATTTTGGGTCCTGGGAACCAAACCCACATTATCTTGGTAGCATGTACCTTTTCTGCTGAGCCATGGTGGCAGGGATGCCAAGTGACTGTTCATTTTGTCCACAATCAGGGAATAGCACATTATGAATGCTCTTGCCCAGCTGGTTTTTTTATTCAGTCAGTACCCCAAGCCTATGAAACAGAAGAGTACATCATCTCTCCCTCATAGACATGCCCAGAGATTTATCTCCGTGGTGATCCTAGATTCTGTCAAATAAACTATCATTGCTAACCATTACAGACTGTTTCAACAGTAAAGGTTAACTGACAGAACTCTAGAATTCATCATTTTGACAGTTATTTTGTACCATTACCAGCTCAGGTGGACTACACTAGTCACACCATTCCTTGTGTGGCTCGACCTTCTGGCATTTCGTTTATACAGAATTTTAAAAGTTGACCTCTGACCACATCTAGATTCATCATAGTATTTTCCAGAGTAAATTAACTAGGGAACTTATAGTCTTAGTATTTGACACGTTTTCCAGTGATGACTCACAGCACCTTTCTTGTGGCAAGGCAAGAATCTCTAATAAAAAGAACAGGAGAGTTCAGGCTGTAACACTTCAGAGTAATGACAGTGCTGTATTTTCCGTTGGGCCCTGGGGCTTGCCCAAACTTGAAGTTTACAAAATGCTATTAGCACATCTTTTTTTTTTTTTTTTTTTTTTTTTTTTTTTTTGAGGTTAAGACACAAAAGCCCTTATGGCTCAGCCACTACAGAAATAAACTGTGAAAAAGTTGTATGGTACTTGTGCTGGTTAATTTTTCTGTCAACTGACACAACTTAGCCATCTGGGAAGAGGGAACCTCAATTGAGAAAATGCCTCCCATCATATTGGCGTGTGAGCAGGTCTGTGGGGGCATTTCCTTGATTAATGATTGACATGGGGCACTTAGCCCACCGTGGGTAGTGCCGTTCCTGGGCAGTGGTCCTGGGTTCTCTAAGCAAGTAAACCAAGCAAGTCAGTAAACAGTGTTCCTTCACAGTCTCTGCTTCAGTTCCTGCCTCTACGTTTCTGCCCTATGTGAGTTCTTGCCTTGACATCCCTATAATAGGAAAGCCAACCCTTTCCTCCACAGGTTACTTCTGGTCAATGTTTTATCACAGCAATAGAAAGTAACTATGACAGTGTTGCACATGACCTGCATCATGTTTGTGTATGTAAACTAGATCCCAAAGATCCGTCCCAAATTATATCTTTCACTCCCCCTCCCCAAAGATTAATGTTCATTATCATCTTAATATTTTGAAAGAGGGAAAAAAACCCAAAAGCTTAATCATTATAAACTTGAGCTTTGCAGGCAATCAGACCTGAATTTAACTTTTAGTTAGGAAAGAGTGTTTACCAGTCTTAAGAATCCAACCAGGGCAAGCATTGTATTACTATTATGAACTTAGCCAGAAGCTATTTAATGTATCTCTGAACATCCGTTTACACATCTCTAGAAATAGTGGGCCCTCAGGGTTCTCAAGACGATGAGTTAAATCATGTAAGTCATTTAGTGTGTTGTCAGTACAATCCAAACATTGCCACTATTTCTGTTTCTTCTGGAAAATGATTTCCCTAAAAATACAAGTTCAGGTTTCAATAATTTTGATTGTTTTGATGTAATTAAAAATTCTTATTAAAATATAAGAAATAAAATCCGCTTATTTTAAGTTTATATTATTTGTATATGACTGTTGTGCCTACAATATGTATGTGCATCATGTATATATCTCGTGCCCTTGGAGGCCAGAAGAGGGCATCAGAGTCCCTAGAACTGGAGTTGCAGGTGTTTGGTAATGACTATGTAGGTGTTGGGACTAGAATTTAAGACAAGTGCTCTTAACTGAACCATCTTTCCAGTTCCTGATGGTTTATTTTAAAAATAAAAGTATTTTAAGTCAACTTAGGTCCAATTACAAATAAGCAGAAAACAATAAACCCTTGTGGCAGTATGATAAACTAGTTAGCCTAACTCAAACTAGGCTAGTCTAGGTATCCCCTAGCAGTTTGGAATAGAAAATTACTAACAGCCAAGCTTGCATAATGATTTGTAGACATGATCATAGGTCATGCCTCTGATAAACCACAACTTCTCAGTCCTCACCAGCCTTCAGCTCGGACTTGGCCTCACTTGCTACTCCAGGCCCCATTCCACAAAAGAAAGCACATATAAAAAAAAAACTGGGATAGCTTTGCAACCTGTCACCCCAAATAGCTGGGAAAGCTTTCTGGTTTAAGCGAAATGAAGGACTTTACAGGAGACAATATGACTTTAAATGATCATGTTAAATCCTCTACATCTCACTGAATTTCTCATTAGCAAAATCAGTCTTCCATGCTACTTAGAAATGTTAAAAGAAAATCTGAAAGTTTTTAGGAACAGCTCATAAATAACTGATCCTTGCTTTCCTAGTGTTCGGTACTTTACTGCTTTAAAACAGGATGCTTTTCTATGCTTAAATGTAAAAGTGAAAATTAATATGTGAAACTGGGTTCTTATCTAGCTATTACTGCCTCAAGGCTTACCTCAGCTCAATTTAACCTAATTTAAGGAAGGCAGCTTCCCAACAAACCTACTCAGGGTTAAATTACTACTGCAGAGCAGGTGCCAAGGATGGATAAAGGGCTGAATCCCACATGATGTGCAGCAAGAGGCACACTTGCCCAGAGTTACATCCAAATTAGGGAGCAAAACAGTGCCAGACTCCAAACCAATACTTGTTGTAGTTGTTTAAAATTAATGGTCGTTTGTTTTGAATAAAATGTTCCTAAACAGCTTTACATGGTGTCTTCTTGGTTTGGATTTAAAATTTCAATTTATCACTGAGTAAAGTGGGGTGTATCAATGAGCACATCACTGTATTTTGGGTACTATAATTACAATTATAAGAGCATACATTAAAAATTCTCTGAACATTATAATTATTCTGATTACCTGGTAAAAGGTAGCAGTCAAAAAGTCAATGAGTCTTGGCACTTAGCTAAATTCTTTGTTTGTGTTCTGAGACTGGGTTTCTCTGTGTAACAGCTCTGACTGTCCTGGAACTTGCCTTGAACGCTCAGAGATGGCTTTGCCTCCCAAGTGCTGGTATTACAGATGTGTGTTACCATTGCTGGCTTAGCTAAATTTTTATCATTTTTTACTTGACTCTCACAATCTTCTAAGTATTAATAGAATCTACCAAAATAGAAAGGACACTTGTTCAAAGGTATCAAAAGCTGGAGCACAAATCTAGGTTGTCTGATACTAGAGTAAAATATGTCACATACACCTCAATAATAGATGAAAGAAATATGAACACCACCCATCAAATTGACATGTGTGTTTATTGCACAAATTTCCCCTAGAATTGGGAGGTTATTATAATACAGGTGTACATTTGAGAAATGTATTCAGAACAAAGAAGTATGTACATTTATATATTCATCATCTAAATAACTTGAGAAAGCAGAACATCCTCAGAAGACAGCTACCAGACACAGGCATTATGCAAATTGTTTTTAGCCATCATCTGCACTGTGTGCCAACTGCAACAAAATGAAATCTGTACTAGTATG